CTCGGAAGTCAGAGCTGGGAATGACATCACACCCGAGTTGACGACGTTCCAGCTACAATGGCCAGCTGTTGTTTACAACTAGCGGTTAATAAAAAAAACGCACTGTGCAGTATTTACGCATGCTAAACACTGTGGCAACATGTCCACAGACAGCAGTTGGACAGCACTTTATGTACAAAAATTTCACACAGAAGTGCTAATAAACAGTATCCAACGAAGGTTAAAATGAAGGGCAACTGGACTTGGTTGAAGCTACTGGAAGACGTTTCGTCCCTTATCCAAAGGACTTCTTCAGTTCTGACTGACTGGCAAGGAAACTCAGCTATTTAACCTAAGTGGGGTCGTTGGCACGGGTCATCGATACCGCTGGTTCGTTAGTGTTCCTTGTTGCTGTGACGACAGTCGTTACAGTCGTTGAGACTACCTGTGGCCAAGACTGAACGACCATCGTTGGTATCTTCACCTGAGGCCAATAGGTTACGTTTGTTGAGTTTCCTGGGAAGTGATGAAAGTCTTGGCCTCAGGTGAAGATAACGACCCGAGATAACGACCCCACTGAGGTTAAATAGCTGAGTTTCCCTGCCAGTCAGTCAGAACTGAAGAAGTCCTTTGGATAAGGGACGAAACGTCTTCCAGTAGCTTCAACCAAGTCCAGTTGCCCTTCATTTTAACCTTCGTTGGATAACTATGACCTGGATGACTGAGAATCTTCATAGACATCTAATAAACAGTATAAACTACAGCTTTCACTAACTGTTGATACTCAGAGCAGCCATCTTGGACACACAAAGTCGGGGTAGTGCGGTTCTCCCAGAAGTCAGAAATCTGACTTAAGGTTGAAATTTCTGACTTAGAACTCGGAAATTCCGACTTCCCATGTTGAATGGAATGCACCATAAAGTCACAACTCATTTACTGTTAGCCTAGCATGCTAATACAACATAAACATATGGATGAATCGTTTATAGATATTCATAGGTAGAAACAGATGAAAAAGTTGCGCTGAAAAAGGGGCGAAAATTTGTGTGTTACGTTTATATCATTGCAAATCAGAGCTGAAGCCAATTAATACCCGCTACTGCTGCAGCGTTTGACCCAGGGGCTGGGAGTGAATGCCGATTATACCCTTTCACACTGAAGGCAAAACCCAGATATAACTGGGTGAGAAGAAGAAGTCCAAAGAAAAAGAAGCAGCGACAAGCCCGCAAATTTTATTACAGGAACAAATTTCGTCACTGTGAGGAAATAACTTCTTAATCAGAACATTGAGTTCTGTTTGCTGGCAAAAGATTACTTGGGTGAGAATAGTATTTCCATTTAGATTAAGTTGTTGCCCCTTTAAAAGTCTTATTTTACATAATATTTGTTGGTGGGTTTTAGACTGATGAGTTTGGACCATTAAAAGGAAAATGTGCGTCTCAGTGTTTATCAGTTTTGTGGAGGCCAGGCGACAGTTTGATGAGGTTTATTTTTTGAATTTCCCTGAACATCTGCAGAGGCCTCCTTTAGTAACGCAATTTTCAGTACAGTTTGCTTGCAGAAGGATTGGCAGATTTGAATAACATTTCCATTCAGAGTGAGTTGTTGGCCACTTATTAGCTTTATCTTGCATAATATTCTCCTTTACTTAGTTTGAGGCTGATTAGTTTAGGGCTGTTTAACTGAAATCCCAGCAGATTGACTGTTGTGAGTTGGCCAGGCAGTGCCTTGTCAATTTTTTTTTTATTTCCTGGAACATCAATAGCACCAGTCTTAATAGCGCATTAAAAAGTGTTCCTTTACTGTATAAACACAGGAAGCTGCATTGTCATCCATAATTTCCAGTAAATTCCACCCAAAACTGCCTCTTGGGTCGTATTTTTTTCCATTCCTGGTTTTCTTTGATTGCATACATGTACAAATGAAGCAATATTTGGTTCCTGTGGCCACGTAGTTGACTCGGCCCAGTCTGTATCCCCCCGCCCCCCTTCCCTCAAGCTAAGCCCTATTTAAGTTTATACACAATGCACAACATTGTTCAAAAGACAAGGCATTCTGAAATAGTCTGCAAGCCTTTGAACATCATGAAACAAGTCATTCCAACGTTGACTTGGACAGCTAAACATAAACTCTCAGAGAAGAGTGATTCATGCTGACAGGAAGAAGTAGATGATGGAGGTTTCTATTTGCTGGATAATGGAAATATCAGCTGTACCAATGAAATTAGTGGCGAAGAGAATAGCTGCATCATCTGAAGAAGCTCCAGTAAAAAAAAATCATTTTTCCTATCTTCTTCTTTCTTTTTGTAGCTTGGTCATCTCAGTTCTAGCCTCATTAGCCTCCAGCAGGGAGACGGGCAGACAGTTATTTTGGGGGAAGGCATGAAGAGACATCAGGTATAATTATCCCACCGTGGCTGAGTCACAGCGTGAGCTGATTGTCTTCAGTCAGAGAAGACAAGCTGAGTGGAAAACGCTTCTGCAGGTAGACCATGACCCTCCAGCTCATCACCAACACTTAGGCTCTATTGTTTACTGAATGAGTCCAGCAGGCTCACACACACACACACACACACACACACACACACACACACACACACACACACACACACACACACACACACACACACACACTCAAATGGTTGACCCAGCCCCTAGTGGCAGGTTAAACACCAAGATTGTTCTGCCCTGCTACACCTCATCAGAGTTGAAACTATTTAGAGAGGTAATTGAAGTCGGTGTGTGTGTGTGTGTTTGCTGCTTGAGTAGCTGATTGTTCTGAGGTGGCCTGTCAGATGAGCTATTTTATTTTACTTGTTTACTTAAGTTGATTTTAGGGATGCCACATGGTTCCTGATTGATGAGTCTGTCTTGTTTAAAATTTAAGACACATCCCATCTTGATGCAGTTGTGTCTTGGTAGTTTCTTAAAGTCACCAATTAAAAGAAAAAACTTTTTCACTGGACAGTTAGAACCGATAAGACACAGACACCTCTGGAGCCAAAGATGTAAAGTGGTCTGATGAGTAAGAGGGGATTCAGGCCGGAGGGAGCTGCAATAGTGGGGGTCTGTTAAGTTTAAGGCACTGGTGATACATGAAGTAAATCCAGGAAGTCCAGATTTGAGCAACAGATTAATGTGGTTAAATGTGGTTATCTGATGCCAAAACAATGCACAATGTTTTATAATCCTCAGACAGGATTTTAGAACACTGGAAAGTTATCACAGCGGGCACTATTTTATCTTTTGTTGTGAACATAGTGAGGTAAACAGTAGACTAACAGTGTTCTTGTTATAAAGGAGGTAAAGTTACCATGAGAACCATGTGTGCTTGCATGTATTTGATAGGCCAGCTGCAGCCAGGCTCAACTTTTTTGCTGGATGATCCTGTGTTTTGCCAGAGCCCCCTCTGTCTGTCCCCCCCCACTGCGTCAACAGACTGGCCCCATTAAAATGAATATTGAGGGCTGCATTTATTTTTCATGCAGGACTGTCTGAACACACAGTCACAGGTTTGCTCCTTAATATGAGCTAGACAGGGTCATAACAATATACTGGCTTTGGATTGGATTCCTGAAATGACTGTAATCCTAGAGTTTCTCTAAACTAAGAATTCATGTAATTAAATTAATGATGACAAAATACACTACATGAGACTGTTGTTAGACTAGACACCATGTTCCCCAGGCCATCTCTGAACTGTGTGTCATTAATCAGTGACTAAATAGCAATGAGAAGACAGAGTTGCTACTGGATTTGAAGAACCATTTGAATTTTCTTGTCTTCTAAAACTTCACTCACTCACGGAATTTGCCTTGAATACCATGAAACTGTTTGTTTAAACTGTTTAGCTTTTTTTTTTTTAGCTTAGCTCGTTAATACCGTATCTCCATTGGCCATGTTTTTTAACTTAACAATGTAATGATCCTACTAACAAGTGTTAGTTGTCTGTGAAGCCAAAGCCTGATATATTTTATTCCTCTGTGCCACACACCTCCATTGTTGTCCAGAAGCTATTTAAATCACATAAATGAGTCACACCTTTTCACTGGGTGACATGTTCCTTCACTATGATGAACGTGGACAGTGTTGTCTATTTTAAATCGATTCCGCACTGTGCTGCGGCTGTAAACACTCACTGACCACCAAATCTGCGGCTGAAAAATAGTCCCCAGAAAATGCAGTATTTCCTCCAGTTTGAGTAAACTTTTCTAAAAACTACAGTGCCCAGCTATTTTATTATTATTTAGACTTAAAAAAGCCGCACTTTATTACCATGAACATCGACACTGTAAGTCAAATGAGTTGATTCCACTCACACGGTCCTGCTCACCACTGCACCAAATCTGTGGCTGAAAGAAGTCCCCCACAGTTTATTCTTCTTTGGGAAACATTTGCCAAATACTACAGTCTCCAGTTGTTTTAGGAAATTATTCTGCCTTTTATTAAAACCAAACCACATATCCGTGACCCATTGTTAAAAATTGGGCTGAGAGCCACAGACAGGGTGGCAGAAGTCGGAAAGTAGAGAGACGCACTAAGGCATTGTTGATTTTGGCCTTTTCATGGGATTTGTTGACAATAACAAAAATATAGAATTTCACCAGCCTCAAAAAGTATTTGCTCAAAATACACCAGCTATGTGCAACCAATGACATCTATCTGAAGTCTGTATAATTCCACTGCTCATTAAGGCAATTTTCTACTTTTATATATTACTGTTGAAGAAATTTTAACAACAGTGGGATTTATTCTCGGGACGGGCTCATTGTTTTTGATGTCGGCTGGGTGAAGTGGCAACTTCTAGTTGGTCTAATCTTGTGGGACACGAGAGAGCGACAGAGAGAGGGACACTCTGAGAGCACTGGCTGAATTCCTGTGTGAATTGCTATCACTCCCCCGCACTCTTATTAGAAACCCCAGCACCTGTGACTTTCCATTGACTTTTAACTGATAGGGCACAATATATGTCTTTCTGTATGAGCCATAAAAAGTGTATGCTATTGAAATAAAAACAGACAATTTTTGAATTCACAAATTTTTATTCACTGGATGATTTCAATGGAACGGCCATTTAAATCTTACCCTGATTCCTGTCATACAGGAAAGCACAATATTAACATATGGAGTGATCGGAGTCGACGTAATAACTAAAAGGCAGGTCATCTGTTTGGGTGTAGCAGCCGATCAGGATAGTCAAACAAGACGCTATCCATTCTCAGATATTGTTTTGAAACATACCGTATACACAACTGCACCAGACATCAAACAAAACAGTCAGAATTATTTTTAAATACTCTTGTAATGGAAATTTGCCTGGCACACACTGAAATTAATTGATTTCACTGAGCTGTCCAAAGGAGAAAAAAAAAAAACTGGTACTCCAAACTGGCTCAAACACTTAAAGTCACTCATCAAAATAAAAAATAAAAGCATATCAATAACAAATTATCCAATGTTTGGTATTTACAGGCATCAAAAGTGAAGAACTGAGTCAAACCTGCCACCTTTATTTAATGGCTCAAAAAAGTAGATTGTCATCAACTGCAGCAAAATAGCACAGTTTCGCTAATTTTCAACAAGTCTCATCTACTATTTTTGAGAAACATGACAATAAAAAATATGACTTTCAGGACAGGACTTTCTTTTTTTTTAACCCAACAACACTCAGTAACTGCTTCTTTTTATTTTCTTTCACTCTCTACTCCTTTTCTTCCTCTTATTTTAGGGCAGAGCACTCTTAATGTCTCTTGTTACCCAAACAACCGCCCAGTTCTGACAAACCAATATTTAAAACCATGGAAATAAAAACTAAAAATAACACGCAATGACAGCAATTCTAACCATAATAACAACAATAATAACAATAATGATAATAATAATCATGGATAAAGATAGCAATAAATAGGGTCGGTGAAGTTTAAGTGCGGGTAGGTGTGGTGAAACACAAGACTGTGGGCACCAATTAGAGAGATTTAAAGGGGGAGAGAGTGAGATGGAGAGAGGAGAGGAAGAGTGGAAGGGGTGGACTACCGCACATAAAGTGACTGATTGTTTGGTTGCTGAATCTCCGCTCTGTCCTTCCTTTTTTGACATTTTTCTCGCCACACATACATGGGTGGTGCCAGGAAGGGTTCAGAGTCGTGGGTACAGAGTGTCCCTCCACGCCACATCCTCTTGATGTTGTCTACTGTCCTCCTGCCAAACTGTCCACTGTCATTTTTAAACCTCACAGTGTTTGTGAGCCTTGGAAGGAGAGACGGAGGAGGGAGGGACGGAGGGAGGGTGGCAAGAGTACATCACATCCACAAAATGTCAGTGTCTTTGTGAACAGTTAAGTGCTCGATAGGACTGGTAGTGATTGTGGAGTGTGATGGTGAGGCGAGGGCAGGATGCGGGGTGGTAATTTCCTTTTTCCACAGTGAATTGAAGCAGAGTAGAAGAAGAGCGAATGCCAACTATCCACGCTCTCGGGCAGGCAACAGCATTAGCAACATCAGTGTGTGTCCTGAGGATATATAGGATTGTAGAGGTCTCGGAAGGCCCCGGGATCCAGTCTATAAACGTCACTCAGCGGGGCAAATTCAGCCCAGCATGTAGAGATAAAGAATGAGAGAAATGTCTGGCCCAATCCGCGTGTCTTTTCTGCCGAGTGTCTTGATTAGGAGAAAGTTCTGTGATGATTTCGGCTGTTGACAAGTGGAGATTTAGTTTTGTGTTTGTGTCTGTCTGTCGGTTGGAGGCATGAGCAGCAATAGCTTTACCAGTTAATGAAAGATAGCGAGTGAATTATTTAAATGTTTTTGGGAAAAAAAAACTTTCTTTCACAGTTACACAACCACTGCTGTGTCACAGCACTCTGTGAACCTGCTCTCTTTTGCTGAGGTAATATCACTCCACAACTCGATGTCTGTCTTAGACTGTCACTATAAAGAATCTGTCTGGTCGTTTCAGTGATGTACAGTATTTCATCCCAGTTTCTTTGCAGCCGCCCTCCATCAATTCATGAACAGTTCCTCGCTTCATTATCATAGACCATTTCTTTATCTTGTTTTCTCTCCCTCTCTCATTTTCTCGGTCCTCCTCCTCGTCTCTGTTTGTGAGTCTCTACCTCTGGTAGTCAGCCTGCTCTCTAGGACTGGATGAGGAGCTCCCGGGGGCCAAAGAGCCACCAGGCCGGCCATGCCCCTTGTCCTTGCCTTCCTCCTGAGCAGCGTTGGTCCCTGACTGGCTGGAGTTGGAGCTGGAGGAGGCTGGAAGCTGGTTCAGCCCCCCTGTACTCCCTCCATTCCCCTCTGTAGACTGGTAGATGTCCTCAGCTCCGTCCTCACTAGACTCTGGGTCCTCTGACCCCGAAAGCAGCTCCTCTTCTCTGTATTCGCTGACATCCACACCTCCGCTGGCAGCGGCCCCCTCACCCAGCTCTTTGAGGCGGCCGTGATGTTTTACGTGGTAGCGCTGGTTCTGGAAGAACTTGATGATGGTGTGTTTGGGCAAGTCAAGTTGTGCTGACAAGGTGTGGATGGCCTCCTGGTCTGGGTACAGGCCAACATCCTGGATGAAGCTTTGCAGGATACCCAAGGCCTCCAGGGAAATCTAGAATGCACAGGGAGGATACATAGAGAAAATGAATTAAAAGCAGCTGACCCATATGCCAAAATGATGGTCCTAAAGGAGAAAGTATAATAAAATACTGTACCTTAGTGCGTGATCGTGGCTTCTTGTTGCTCCCAGTATTGCCAACAGTGCCAGGTGGACATCCGCCTGCAGCTCCTGCTCCCACATTCTGTGACCCCTCCTCGTTCACCGGGGCAGATGACTGCTCCTCGCGCATTGGAGACAGGCGGTGCTCCTTCATTGGCGGTGGAGGTGGCCTGTGGAGTGCCTGGCGAGAAAGACAAAAGAGCTGATTAATGGGGCACAGTGACCCCTGATCTAGACTGCTGCTACATTTAAAGCAACATACTGAAATTACAACCATATTACCTAATTTATTTCCCAACAAGTACGTCAGCATTTATGTATTCTATTTGATCTGAATCCTGTATAATTTCACCATGCATTTGTGTACTTCTTTAAATTAATCAGAAATTAAATATTATGTTCTAAATATTAAAACCAACAGTAACCATGTATGACGCAACACATCTTATAAAACAACCAGTAACCTGTCCCCCCCTCCAGCTCACAGTAGCCAGGGCTGCAGGGTGAACAGAGGGTGAGAACAAGTGTTTCACAGCTCACAGGGTGTCACGGTCTATTAACCAGCTCGAAGGCGGGCTTTTAAACTGGTTTGTGTCCAGTATACCTTTGACCTAATGTGTGTAAGATTAGCTCTAGTAAAACGCCAACCACCTGTCTGCCAGAAGTCTCTTATTGACAAAGTTATTACACCCCATCACTATTTAACTAGCCCATTCAAAACCTCAGAGGGTCAGAGTGTAGAGGCTCCCTCTACACTGTGAGAGAGGACAAAGTAATTATCATTTTGGATTAGTACTTGGATTCGATCAGTAACAACTGCTGTGGTTCTAGCTTTGATAGAAGAAAATGCAAACTATGGAGAAAAAGTTGAGTGAATGAAACTGTTTCTGTGAATCTATAAAATCAACACTGTTGCTAGAGTGTGTGTAAAAACCTCTATAAGGCAATGGAAATTAGAAATATAATAAAATAGAGTTAATCAAAATAATTAAACAATAACACCAAATTTAATAGAAAGCTGCGGGAAAAAAATTTCTAAATATAAATTTGAATATCTTCTGCATATTACAAATTTGTGCTAATGGGAACATGTAGAGTTTGAATAGAAAATGCTCAAGAATCAATAATTAGGGATCTTCACTAATTATTTTTGTTTATTGTTGCTGTCATTACATGTCTGATCAATTATTCTCTTTCTTGTAACAACAGAAACTGGATTTGAGTCAATTAGGAACTCTAGTCTATCTTACTTTGTTTGATCGTTATTCAGCGTATTATATATATACAATATATTTTGGTCTTAAATTGTTAGTTCCTAATTCTGCTAGATAGATGTCTATAGATGCAGCGTTGGGGAAATAATGTTTCTATGCAAATTTGGTGGGAAAAACAAATGATTAAAATACCTAAATCAAATACTATTATCGACCAACTAGGAATTGTTTTATCAAGAGCACTGTCTTTTTCCTTTACTGACTTCAATTTCAATTTCAATTTATTGATGGATAGCCCCTTGAGATGCAGCATCTCGTTTTCAAGAGGGTCCAAATACACATATACATAATACAACAGGAAAAACAAAAACAAACAAAGAAAAAAAACAAAAAACAAATGCTCAAAACATCATAGCTCAGACATGTTATAGCAAGCTAGTACATCCCATTTACCTCATTACACAATTGGAAACCATAATACATAAGAGATTCAATGCGAAAAGGTATCACATAAGAAAAACAGAGGTTGAATCCACAGGAGGTAAATCCATTTAACAATTACATGAAGCAAAATACTATTACAAGCAATATTGTTTAGCCCAGCATCAATAACATGTACACACATTGTTAAGATATTGAAATATAGATAACCTAAATCTCCAAAAAGATGAGATGGATCTCAAGGACAGAGGGAGATTGTTCCAATCACAAGTAGCTTTATAATGAAAAACTTTACATCCAGCAGCTGAAAAGATTCCTGGTACAGTAAAGACGAGATATTGCATATCTCTAAGTGGATACATAGAACTACAAGGAACAAAGAGTTCTTTCAGATATGGAGGACAATCGAAGTAGGCACATTTGAAAATAAATAGGAACCAATGGAAGTCTCTCCTTGAATTAAGCTGAAGCCAATTTGGTGATGCATATATTACACAATGATGAGTATTAAACACCTCAGAACAAATCTACACAGAGAGTTAAAGACAACATTAAGTGGCTTAAGAACAGAGTCACTAGTGTTCATGTAGATGACTTCAGCGTAGTCAATAAAGGGCAATATCAACTGAGAAATTAAGGTTTAAAGGTAAGCTCAGAATCAATTCACAGTCCAAGGTACTTAAATTTTTCCAATTTCACCATGGAAGACTCATCTTCGAAATAAAGTTGCAAGTTAAGAGTACAAGGTCGTCTGTGCCTCGTCCTAAACAACATAAAACAGGACTTTTCCATGTTCAACAAAAATTTGTTATTGTGAAGCCATTTTTCAGTCATAATAAAGTCAGCTTGTAACCTGTTCTGGATACAGTGAATATCAGTCAGCAGTGCAAATTACGGTATCATCAGCATAAAGATGAACCTTACAGATGGAGCAAATGTGCGATAAATCATTAATGAAAATCGTCCTAGAGTAGAACCTTGAGGAACCCCCTTATCAACCAATAAATAATCAGACAGTGAACCTTGAAAAGCAACACACTGCGGTCTGTTATGAAGATAAGAATTAAACCATAACATAGCACTTTGATTGAAACCTATTGCATAAATATTGTCAAGGAGAATGTAATGATCTACCATATCAAAAGCTTTGGAAAGGTCGTTAAAAATAGCACCAGTTAGCTGTCCCTTATGGAAGACGGAGAAAACGTCATTGGTGAACTTCAATAAAGCTGTGGTGGTGGAAAAATTAGGTCTAAAGCCAGATTGATATGGGGATAAGATGTTATTCTGAATAATGAATTTTGATAATTGATTAAAAATAATTTTCTCAAATATTTTGGCAGTGGTGCAGATAATAGAAATAGGGCTATAATTATTCATATTAGAAGCTTAGAAGCTTATAGTAGCAATTGTTGATTTTCATTCTCATTTTATTTTTAGATGTATTTTATACACTGTCACCTGGAAAACAACAATTATAGCTTTCTTATAAATGCTTGCCAGTGAAACAAACTGCCTGGTTATTGATTTGATCTGTTTGATTTATCTCTGAGCAAAGATGGAATGAGTTGTATGCAGTCTGAGTGAAACACAGCCTGAGAAACCAAACTCAGGGCTAAAAATGTTTAGTCTTACCACTGCTGGTGAGGCAGATGACAAATTTACACTGGAACAGGATGTATTTCAGATGAGTGTATCTTGATTGTTATGAACTCAGATTTTCCGATAATCCAGGTTATGACAGTTTGGCACAAAGAGCTCAATGTTCAGCAGCTAAAAACTACACATGAGAATGGCTAGGAAAGTGATAAAGAAAAAAATAGGGATTATAAATAGAGACAATGAGAGAAGGTGTAGATATGTGTTTGTTAATTTGATGGGTGGAGCTCTCAGAGAGGGATCCTCTGGCTGTCAGGACCAGAGGGAGGGGTATTTGACAGCAGTGAGGAGGGCAGAATGAAGTGTTGGGAGGGAAAGTGAGGACTTTGGTTGTTTGTCAGAAGGTAGTGGCTGTTGTGAGAGCGTTGCGGTCGTGTCCCGCCCGCTTGCTTTAAGAGCAGGGAGGGGCCTCCCCACTGGAATGCCCAGCTATAAATCTGTGGCACATTAAAATTAAAGGACCCACATAAAGATAATAGTCATTCACTTTTCTCTCCCTCTCTTCAATAATAACAGGGTATTACTTAAATAATATTGAGGGCAGGCCAGACCATGAAATTGCTCCAATTTCATTGGCAGGGGCTTTATTTTCAGGGAGGGGGGTGGGGTGACCAATTTACAGGAATTCAGTAGGTTTTTTCCTTTTTCTTTCCTGCAAAGTGACAGTGTTTGATATTAAGAAAAGACTGTAAGAATGCTGGAAAACCAACAACAGAGAGAGTGAGACCAGACCAGAGAAAAAGATATTTACCCCTGCCTTAATGAGGACCACACAGCTACAAACATCCCCCATACAAGTTTACTGAGACACTTAATAACTAAATTGAGGGTAAATCATGGAGGGAATTGCGAAACCTACTGCTTCCGACCTGCACCAACAACCCTAACCACCCCAAACCCCCCCACTATTCACAGACCTTCACTATTTCTATGCTTATTTGGGCTGACAGCAAGAACTCCTGGATCAATCGCCACACACACACACACACGCATGCATGCACCAATGGCGGGGCCTGGTCTTCCTCATGCACTAATGATGATGTTAGAGAGCAGAGCCAAACGCACAGTTAGCTCCTCCAGCGAAGACTCCTCGTTTCTCTCATCCTTCAAGTAGTCATACTATTTCTTCTGTGCTTCTTTCATACCTTACGTTTTTCTCCCTTTGCTGCTGCTTTTTTGCTTCCCTTCTTCTATTCTACTACACTTTCTCTTTCCACCGCCTCCCTCTCCCCCTCAGTTCTAATGCATCAGGACACTAATGAAGTGGGCCTCTGCCAAGCCAACATGAGTCCACATCCAAATCAGCCCTGAACTGGTAGATGTCAGGAGCCCCCACCCCCACCTCCCAATGTCCTCCAACTCCATCCCACTCCTTCTCACTGCTGTTCTCCCCACATTTCACACCTTTAGTCCCAGCTAAGTAAGGCTCCTTTCACTTCCTGTGTCTATTTGGCTTGTGCTGTTCGACCTCTACCGTCTGTCTGTCAGTAGTCAGTAGATATTGTCTGTTGCAGTCTTGGGTATTTCTTCAAAAGATGCATTAGGTGAGAAATTCCTCTAAATCAGATTTTAAGGAAATAAGTAATTCACGTCTGAATTTGTGCACATAAGCTGCAGTAAATGGGTGCAAAAATAATGGTGCAAAAATGTGGAACCTGGTGCATAATTAGCTATTCATTTTTTGTGCTTATTTTCCATTTTCCAAAATGACTAGTGGTAATCAGTCTTCTTACAGAAGGCAACGCGACCTTTGGGTGTGTGGGAGCATAAAATCCTGGTGATAATCATTAAACAGACCTGCTCCTTTCAGTATATATGATTTAAAACTGAAAAGTAATATGTCATGGAGAGTAGACTTACATCCCAGGGACAATTATTTAGAAATGTA